GGAAAATATAAATAATTTTCATTGTTCTCTAAAGAAGTCCTTCTTACAGTTAAAATTCTTATTTCATATAACTCAAGAAAAGAGAGCTTTGCTGACTCAGAATTAGATCCCCAAGCTTTTTATTTGCTCTGCTGGCACAGCAAAGCTTATGGGCAACTGATAATTGCCTGAGTGCCCAAAGATTATGGATCAATCATGGGACTGCCAGTCATGCCAACTCGCAAGCCGGGGAATAGTCAGAGAGGCTTGAGATCTTTTTTCACTAAGGCAAAATGGCTTATTGTTAGATTTGGAGGAAAACAGAGTGAAAGGAAAATGCTATTGAGTGTACTTAGTGAGAAACATCATTTATATCTGACAGCAGCACGTTTTTAATAATGAGGCCAGTAGGGAGAAGATGGAGAGCAAGAAAGACCTTACAAGGAGAGCTTTGCTCAGTGAGCCAGCTCAGCTGGTGTGAAGTGGACCCAAAAGTCCACAGGGCAAAAGAATATTATATTTTAAAAATGCAGTGTGCGGCATTTACTTTTGTTTTTAAGGGAAAAAATGCTTGAGAGTCAACTCCACTCACTGATTTCATCTCATCTCAACTCATTTACTCCCGCCAGCTAAAATTTCTTGGTTACACACATCTGAATTCTTAAGTATTCAGTAGAAAAGTAAAGTAGGATCCTATATCAACCCATACCCAAAAATAAATGCTAGATATTACTATTTAGTTAAAACCTAAAAATATAGAAAATTAAGAGAATTTGGATGAGTATTTACATAATTTGGGGAAGTACAGAAAACATTTCTTATCAAAAAAGCACAGGGTAAAAGCCATGATAGATTTAAATAAGATTTTTTAAGTGTCAAAACATCAATACATCTTTTTAAAAAATTCTGTAAATAAAATTAAAGCACAATTTTAAAACTGGGGAAAAGATTTGCAATATATATGGCAGTAAAAAAGCTGAGATCTTTTTTTTTTTTTTTTTAAAGTTTTTTTTTTTTTTTTTTTTTCCCTCCAAAGCCCCAGTAGATAGCTGTATGTCATAGCTGCACATCCTTCTAGTTGCTGTATGTGGGACTCGGCCTCAGGATGGACGGAGAAGTGGTGCCTCGATGCGCACCCGGGATCCGAACCCGGGCCACCAGCATTGCAGCGCGCGCACTTAACCACCAAGCCACAGGGCCGGCCCAAAAGCTGAGATCTTTAATATCTAAAGAACTCGTAGCTATCAATGGGAAAGAGATAAACACTCCAATTAAAAATGAACAATTTTCGGGGCCGCCCCATGGTGTAGTGGTTAAGCCTGGCACACACTGCTTCAGCGGTCTGGGTTCGCGGACTTGGATCCTGGACACAGACCTACACAACACATCAATCCATATTGTGGTGGTGACCTACATACAAAGTAGAGGAAGATTGGCACAGATGTTAGCTCAGGGACAATCTTTCTCATCAAAAAATAAATAAATAAATAAACAATTTTCAAAAGCAGACATACAAATCCCAGTAAACTTCACAATCAAAAATAGGGCAATTGAAAGCATCAATGAAATACCAAGTGTCACCTTTCAAATTAATAGAGTAAAATCAATGATATCACAAGTATTGGTAAGAATATAAGGAAATAAATGTACTCATATACGGCTGGAGAAGCAGGCTAAACCCACGTTTTCTAGTGGGCCATTCGCAATTTGCATCAAAAACTGTTAAAACTCTGCTTGTCTTCTGAACCCACAGTTCCACCTTTTGCAAGTTATCTTCAGGATAAAACCACAAATGTGTCCAAAGTTACATATGGACGTATTTCATCACAGTAATTTGGAAACTAAGTGTTCTAAAATAATGGAATTGTTCAGAAATCATGATACATACAAAGGAAAATACTATGCCAGGGATAAAACCATGTTACAAAAAATATTTCTAGGTGTGAAGAAAAATATGTTACCTATACAAAAAGAAAACAATCAGGCTATCAGTCAATATGTGCACTGTACAGCTCGAGGTGGGGGCGGGATTCGCACCATGATTTGCACTGTATACAGCGGCCCTGGTGCTTTCCTGAGATTGGCCTATCCCCTGATACCTACGAGGGACTGAGATGCGTGATGGTGATGTCCTTACCTTCACAGAACATAATGATAGCCCATTTAACCTCCTTCTCCAGAGTGCGGAATGGATCATATAGAATCATTTTGACAGAGTTCTAGGTTGTCACAGTAGTGGCAGTGTAGGGAGGGGTGGGATAAATCCCACTTTGTGGGCCAGGTGAAATCTGGCTTCAATAACCATTGATAGTCGAAATGCTTATTATTATCCCAGTGGCACCTCCTCCCTGCCCCCAACACTCCCCATTCCCTTTATCCTGCTTTTTTTTCTTCTCCATATACGTCATCTTCTAATACTTTCTATAATTTACATACTTATCATTTTTATTATCTATCTCCCCCTACTGGTGTGAAGGCAGAGATTTGTGTTGGTTTTATTCACCTTTGTATACACGCAGCACCTAGAACAGTACCTGGTACCTGATACACAGCAGGACCTCAAGAAATCTTAAGTACGTGAGTAAATAAATGAATGAATGGAAACTCATATTTATTGTATGTATACCATGCATCAGGCACCTTAATTCAATTAGTAAGGACAGCTTTTAGGGAAAGAGAGATCACAAATGAGCAACATGAGGGGTATTGATGAAAGGGAGCAGTGGCGGCCCACCCTCTCTGTCTTGCTCGTGGTTGTGAGGGTATCGAGTAAGACTTGATTAGTGATAAGTGAGCCAAATGTCTATTTAAATGCAAACTTGGGGAGCTGCCTCTAACTTCCTGCCAATTGTCCCCGTAGATACTGCCTACTGAATCCACAGTGAGGATCCCAAAGTGAGAGAGCTAGGGCCATCCCTGTCATGCACTCTCCTCTAGGCTTAAAGATGTTGGGCACTTCTCCAATAATCCAGAGTTCTGCATCAGGGAGCGGAGGAGTGTATGAGAAAACAGTGGCATTAAATGTTTTCTCAATAAGGAGAATAATTGCCTACTGAGAAGATATTCATAATGGTGGTCATTTCTAATGAATTTTTTGTGTGTGTGTGAGGAAGATCGGCCCTGAGCTAACATCTGCCAATCCTCCTCTTTTTGCTGAGGAAGATCAGCCCCGAGCTAACATCTGATGCCAATCCTCCTCTTTTTGCTGAGGAAGACTGGCCCTGGGCTAACCTCCATGCCCATCTTCCTCCACTTTATATGGGACACCTCCACAGCATGGCTTGACAAGCGCTGCATCCGTGCACGCCCGGGATCCGAACTGGCGATCCCCGGGCCGCCGCAGCGGAGCAAGCGCACTCAACCAGTTGCGCCACCGGGCCTGCCCCTCTAATGAATTTTTTTAAATCTACATTGTTAGCCTCACTACTTAGAATCCTTCTTTTGCTTTCTAAATTCAAATGCATCATTCTCTGAAGGATCATACCTTTACCCTAGAAAGAGTAGTTCTTTGGATCCTACCTCATAATAATGTTCATTATACTTTCCTGCTGAGCAAGATCAGCTTTGAGCTGGTTTAGGTAGATGTGAGGTTTGAGAAGGTATGTCCTGCCCTTCTTTCCCTCGCCACATATCTGTCACAGCTACTGGCTTTTGCCTCTGCTGATCATTAGTTTGAATGTGCCTACAACGAATAAAGCCTTCATTTTGATGCCTTAACAAAAGAAAAAAAGATATCTCTTCCTGCATTGCAAAACAGCCAGTTTTCACAACATGAACAGGAACTTCAAAATTATTGCCAGTTCCTGACATGCAGATAATTCTTCCAGAATTGCAGTTTTTCCAGTCCAAATTATACTTGAAAAACTACCAGCTCCCTAGAATAAACTCTATGCAATGTCCAGCTCATAACACTGCTACAATAACAGGAAGAATACTGCTTCATATTTCTCCCTTGAAAGGCAATGCAGTCCACTTGATAAGAGATCAGAGCAGACACCAGAAAACCTGACTATGTATGACTCTACTTCTGAGATACTGCATGTTTTTTCTTTTCCTCTCTTTACCTCTCTTCTCCCCTCCCCTCCTCTCTTCTTTTCTTCTCTTCTCTCTCCCTTCCAACCCCGTTCTCTCTCAATCTCAATCTCTCTCTCCCTCCCTCTCCCTCGCCTTCTAAAATGAAATATTTGTTCTAAATAAATTTATGCTGGGACTTACAATACCAAGTGATGACAAGGATGTGGAGGAACTGGACCTCTCATACATTGTTGGTGGAAGTATAAAATGGCACAACCACTTTGGGGAAAGGTTTGGCAGTTTCTCATAAAGTTAAAACATGTATCTACCCTATGACCCAGCAGTTCTGCTCCTAGATATTTACCCAAGAGAAATGAAAATTGTGTCCACAAAAGGACTTGTATAAGATGTCAGAGCAGCTTTATTCATAATATCCCCAAACTAGGAACTACACAAATGTCCGTCAACAAATGAATGGATACACAAATTGTGATATGTTCATACAATGGGTTACTACTCAGCCATAAAAAGGAATGAACTGCTGATACATGCACTAACCTGAATGAATCTCACCAACATTATATCCAGCAAAAGAAGGTAGACAGAAAGAAGCACATAGAGTTTTCATTTATATAAAATTTTAGAACACATAAAACTAATCTATGGTGATAGAAATAAAATCACTAATTCCCTAGGACAACAAGGATGGCAGTGGTGAAGGGGGATTGACTTGAAGCGGACTAAGGGAACTTTCTGGCGCAGTGGAAATGTTTTATATCTTGATTGGTGTGGTAGTTTTAAGGCTGCTTATATTTGTCAAAACTCATCAGACAATATACTCAATACCTATGCATTTTATTGTGTGTAAATTATATCACAATAAAAGTGACTGAAAAATTCATACTGAGGTCTAGGCAAGGGTTTAGAAAAAAATTTTTTCCCAAGAGTACACAGGTGGATCATGTATCAGCCTCTCTGTAAAGTCACATATTAGTAGGCTAGAGGAGGTGAGTTGAATCAGTGACATCATGGGTCTGTTGACAGAACTCCTGCTATCTGCACCTATTACATTCAACAGTCACTGAGTGCTTCAATCTGCAAGATAACGTGGTGGGCATTATTGGAGATATAAAGATGAATAATTCAGAATTCCTACTCTCAAGTTATTGCTAATTATTTTTGGCCTAGTGGTGATAAAAAACAATGACCACGCACTCAACTAATTACTGTAAACAAATAATAAGTGGGTAGCATAGGATCATACTGAATGCATACTTACTCAATACCCAGAAATGTCACAACAACCTATTGGATGTCTCGTTTATATAGGGTTCCTAAGCTTTCTGGGTAGAATTTTGAGGGGAACTTTGCAGCCCAAGAATGGATTAGCAAACACTGGGATTGATATTCTTCCACAAAGAAATTGAGTCAGGGTTGCCTTCCTTCTCCCGGGAAGGACGTCCACAAAAGTAGAGAACAAGGCAAAGAGCTTGGTGAGTCAGAGTGGCACCTACTTTGAGACCCAGAGGTAGGAATGATGGAAGATAGTTAATAGAATTGTCAAGAGCAGGGCTACACAGAACAGCTTTACATGGTCTTGGTAGGTCTTTATTAAAGGGAATTGTGAAACTGAAAAGGCAAACGTATTCATCAGAGTAGGTCATCTGAGTGACTTCACACGACAAAAGTTTCTTTCTTCCTCCCTCAAAGTGCTATCCAGACATTCTTGTCTGGGCAGCTCTCCTGGACCTCCAAGTGATGACTCAGTGTCCTCCAAGTGATGACTCAGGGATCCAGGTGCTTCCATTTTGACTTCAAGGTAGCTCTGGTGCCATCTAACTAATATATGAAGAGACAAACACATAAACGATTATGTGAAATGTTTTACAGTTCAGGCCTAGAAGTGGCATCCATCAATTCGGCCCAAATTCCATGAGCCAGAACTCAGTCACGTGATCCCACTTAGATGCAAGAGTGGCTGAGAAATTTAGTTTAGCTGTGTGCCCAACATAGAGAAGAGCCAGATCAGTGAACACCAACAGTCTTGACCACAGCAAGGCTACCTATTGAGCAACTTGAAAACTATAAATGCCCAGGATTCAGTTACTCAAGGGCATCTGGAAGAGATGCCATAAAGTGGGGGTAGGAGTGGGAGTGGGGGAGGTAGGAAGTATTCTCCTCTTTAGAAAGTGTTGTGCTCCTCATTGAGAATAGATGAGCAAATCATCAACAGTTGAGACCAGAAGAGCAGCCCTATGTCACAAATGCCATATTACCCAAGAGCCAGAGAGGGAAAATAGCACAGATCTGGGGCCAGAATAACTTTGCTAAAGACGTGATAAAATGGCCCGTATGCTTTGAAGACCCCTAAGCCTGGAGTTGGTGCATTGCTCAGAGCAGCAGGAGATTGGATTGGGTCAGCTGGATTAAATTGTTGGTAGATACAGTTCCAGGAGTTTAGCTGGGGGCTCTAATCAGTTATCTCATACATTACTAGTTGGGCTCTTGTTTTTTTCCTTTGTTTAATGTAGACAAATGTAAAAAATGAAGGACGCTTCCTCAAAAAGATAAACATAGAAGTACCACATGATACAGCAATTCTACTTCTGGGTATATACCCAACAGAATTAAAAGCAGGAACTCAAACAGATATTTGCACACCCATGTTCATAGCAGCATTATTCACAGTAGTCAAAAGGTGGAAACAACCCAAATGTCCATCAGCAGGTGAATGGATAAACAAAATGTGGTATATACATATGATGGAATATTATTCAGCCTTAAAAAGGAAGTAAATTCTGACACACACTACAACATGGATGAACCTTGAGAACAAACATTGTGCTAAGTGAAATAGCCAGATATAAAAGGACAAATATTGTCTGATTCTGTTTATGCGAGGTATATAGGATACGCAAATTCACAGAGATAAAAAGTAGAATAGAGGTTACCAGGGGCTGTGGGGAGGACATAACAGGGAGTTATTGTTTAATGGGTACAGAGTTTCTGGTTAGGATGATGAAAAAGTTCTGGTGATGGTTGGACAATATTGTGAATGCACTTAATGCCACTGAATTATACACCTAAAAATGGTTTAAAGGGTAAATTTCATGTTATGGATATTTTATTACAATCAAAAAAAATTTTTTTTAAATGAGGGGCACAGGTGTCTCATAGAGAAACAAACAACATGTTAAAAGCCAAATAGAAGGGCCATCCTGGTGGCCTAGTGGTTAAGTTTGGCGCGCTCTACTTTGGCGGCCCACGTTTGTGGGTTCAGTTCCTGGGTGCAGACCTACACCACTCATCAGCCATGCTGTGGCAGCGACCCATATACAAAATAGAAGAAGATTGGCCATAGATGTTAGCTCAGGGTGAATCTTCCTTGGCGAAAAAAGAAAGAAAAGGAAAAAAAAGCCAACTAGAGAAAGATTCCAGTTGGTAAATGGGGATGGGAGGAATCAAGTAAGGCTTCAATGGAAGAGAAAATTACAGCAGCTGGGCCTTGGAGAATTTCAAGCTGGAGACTGGGAGGAAGAGGGAAGAGGGAAGGACATATGCCAAACTGTGGGGAAATGTGAGCAAGAGCAGTCATAAAAGTATGTAGTGAATCTAAGTAATGGTGATTAGTCCAGTTTATTCATTGAATGTCCGGCTTTCCCCTGCTGGGGGCGCTGATGCTCTCCCCTTGGAACTACGTTCTGTGAGAGCTGTCCTAGATCCTGGGCCATGGGTTCCCATGTGGGCCACAGAAAACTCTCACCTGACAACACAAAGAGGCATAACCCTCAGTTACTTGCATGTGCATGTTTCCACTTTATTCATACTGGAGGAGTTCACATAACTGTAATATACATGTTACCTTTTTTCAGGGGGAGTCATTATGTTCTGAGGAATTTCATCCACAGAATCTGTATATTGTCAGATGCATGTAATAATGGATAATATTTCTGAAATATTAACTAATATTTTTTCTCCTCATGCTTCCTCCTTTGTTTCTCCCTGTTCAAGCAGGTAAGTGAGTTTGTGCATGCTGCCTCAAGGGAGGGATGAGACAGGTGGTATTTTTTTTCTTTTATTGAGGTATAATTGACATATAACACTAAATTAGTTTCAGAGTGGTGTTTTAGATCCTTACAAAAGTTAGGCATGACTCTTTTCTCTGGACGAGGCGTCATTTTGATCCTCTTAAAATCCACAAGACAGAAGTTTCTGAACACCAGCAGTCAGGTTTGCTTATTTGTGTGGAGGGATTTTAACTTTTTATTCCCTTTTCAAGACATTTCTAAGTGACTTCAAGTAGTGTATTATCTGCACAGTTTCCAGCCTTCTGCTGAAGATGGACTTTATCTCCCCACCTCTGAAACGTCCTGCATCACAAGCTGCTTTAGCTGATCTGGCCTCAGAAGTGGATTGACCACACCCCACAGCCAAGCCCTGTAGGCCTGCCTGGTGCACTCTTTCAAAAGAGGGAGAGGTTCTGACCATTTTATTATTTGTCCTGGTGCAGAAACGGAGGGCTGAGGGAACAGCCAAACAGACTTTCATCCTCATCCAGGGGCAATCTCTCTCTAGTAACTGCATCAAACAGGAAGTGAACATAATTTCTCAACACATATTTTCATAGTAGAAAAATCAGACGATATTCTAGCCAAGTGATCAAAATCAACACCACCAATAAGGGGCAAACAGACATGGTTGTGATTCCAGATGAAATACCCTAAGTAGATACCTTAGCTTCCCTGAAAAATACCCCCTGGTTGCTTTCAGGAAATTTGGGGTACTCCTTGTAACTAGTTCCATTACTAGAAAGATGTACCCTCCCTATATCTCCCAAAGTAGTGCTTCTCGAACTTGACTGCACTTAGCAGTCACCTGGGGATCTTGCTCAAACACAGATTCTGATTCAGTAGACCTGCGATGGGGCTCAGCATTTTGCATCTCTAATGAACTCTTAGGTGATGTCCGTGTTGCTGGTCTATGGGCCAAACTTTGAGTAGCAAGGTTCTAAAGCAGTGGTTCTCAAGGTGTGGTCCCCGGATCAGCAGCAGCAGCATCACCAGAAACTTATTAGAAATGCAAAATCTAGGGCCCTATCTCCAAGACCTACTTACCTACTGGATCAGAAACTCTGGGCATGGGGTCCAGTCCAGTGAGGGCCAGAACTAGGACTAGGCAAAATTTAAGGAGGTACCTACTCTCTAAGTCATCCAAGTGCAAGGTTGGCACCTGAGTCTAGCATTTGGTGTCTTCCAAGCCCTCCAGGTGACTCTGATGCTCGCCAGAACCATGGACCAAATAACCATTGTCTCCTTTCTTCCCAGTAAGTCATCTCACTGCAATAGCAGTCTAATTGTATTTAAATTATCTGGGCCCCAACTCAGACCTATTGAATCAGAACCTTTGGGGGTAGAAAAATGTTCATCCGGCCCATAAGAGGATGTGAATGAGAATGCTCACCAAAGAGCAATTTGCCAAGAGAAGGATTTGGAAGAGAAAAACAATGCATCAACCATGATACATTAGATACGCAAAATGTGTGGAGGCATGCTAAACAGTTAGAGGCAGCGAGCTGGATGTACCATAGAGCAATATGATCAGAGCAGAAAAACAAAGAGTTGGACGAAAATTGCAAGAAACTGATTTAGTGCACAACACCATTTATGTAAATTTGAAATGCATATATTTTTTTAAAATAACTATTCTTTTCAAATAAAGATCCATGAATAGAGAGGGTACCAGAGGGGAAGTGGAATGGGAGTGAAGACCAAGGATAAGGGGGGGGAAACTGGTAAATGATAAGCAGACAAGCCAGTGAGCATAAAAGAGAGGAGCCTTGCACAGCCAGAGATGACAATGTGCTGTGAACTGGGGAATGTGACGAACTCAACTCCACCATGAGGGCCACTAGTTGGCAGGGTGTATAGAAGTCTCTGCGGATGGAGTCAGGAAATCCATTGAAAACAAAAGCCCTGGATGATTCTTCTGCGCACCACCGACATCTTGAATTCCAAAGCATTTTTACTTTTTGGCACTTCCATGACTTGGCATTAC